TCTAAATTATTTTTCTCAGCAAGGTCACTTACTTTCACAAGGTCTGCATGAACTTGGGTCTTCCTGAGGTGTCTAACTCTTCATCAAACTTGGTTGAAACCCATGGTTTCAAAACTTCAAGAGAAAGCAGACACAGACTGTAGTAAGTTTTGTTTCCCATTTAGATCTAACAGAGCATTTGAACTAAAGTGAGAAACAAAATAGACAGATTTCCCCCAACACAATTAGCAAAAATTATAGCCAACTTGGCTATGTGTCCTTTTGTCTCTGCCTAGTAAACCCTTCGTGTAGTGAGGGTTTTCTAAGAGGTAACATGCCTTACACTCTGCTGCAATGCCAGAAACACAGCAATGAGCAGCAACGTCCTTTTTTCTACAGCCAGATTTCCTCTGTTTGGAGAGCAAGTTTCTCCAGAGCTTGTGTAACTCACTGCATTCAGCGGGAGCCTTTTGGTCCTGCTCTCTCCATATTGCAACCAGTTTCAGTAAAGAAACAGTCCACACTGGCAGTGCCCTCTCTGCCAGAAATGGCCACAAACTTGGATATACGAATCACTCAACACCTTAAAACAGCATCTTTGCACCCAGCAAGAGTACTCTAAACAATGCAGTTTTATTAGAAGTCACAAGCTCCTTCTTTACTTTGTACACATACAGCTAGCACGTATCCCTTTCCATTCCTAGTCTCCTCAAAGTAGGTATTTCTAACCATAGATTGGACATTTATTTTTCATCAGGAATATTTAGATAGAGTGCTTCAACAGTAATAAAAACTAAAACAGGGATGGGTGGGAGTTATCTTCAGAGTTACAGAAAACAGCTTTAATATCAGGTTGCCATCACACTGCGTCCAGTCCCCTGTTAGTGTAACAGTAGAGCCATGTAAGACTGGCTGACTGGAAGCTGAAATCCTTGTCATCCCGGGGATGGAGAACAGCCCAACAGCTCCTCCTCGCTGTGGTCATGGCACACTGTGGCCTAGACTGAGGGCGTGCAGTCGACCCAGGTTTTGTTTTCTTTCCTCTCAGAACCTGCCTGGAGTGCCAGCTGAGCATCCTCACTTTGGGAACAGGCTCTTGTGCAGGAAGAGAGATACAGAAACTACAGTCGAAAACTCTGAGCTTGGGAAGTAGATCTTGCTATGACAGACTGTACTAGACTGGAGACTGTCAGTTCTTGTCTCTCCAAGGATATCATCTCATCTGTCTTAGACTCAGATTTCTGTTCTTCTATTGATAATGACCGCCTGTGTTTGAGAAATACAAATTAAATATTGTTATGCACTTCATTTATTGTGAGCATTGCAGGCATGAGAAAAGCTAAACGCACTTTCACACTCTCGGTGCCCTGCACCTCTTCCTTACCATATTTATTTAATATCTCATATCTGTAACTATAAGAGACACATGGAACAAAGCTGTAACAAGAAAAATGGAAGAGAAGAATAGGACGTTTCCTATAGTTACCAGGCTCATACAAACTCTGCCTGTGCTATTACTCAGGTTCTTCTGCACAATGCAAATCATATGCAAGAGCTCAAGGTACTGTAGGATTCCCTACGAAAAGAAGAAACCAAACACTTCCCCACACAGGGACGCTGAAATAGCCATCACATCCTGCCTGTCCACGGGGACTGCCCTGCTACCCACGCCACGTCAGCAACACAGACGACATCCCACACACTGCCATCTCCTAGGAGATCCCAGTCCAGATGCCTTGACAGATAAGCGAGGTGCCCCAGACAGATACAGTTTGCAAACCCTGTCGTGCTGTCTCTGGAGGTTTTAGAGATCCTCCTGCAGACTATGTGACAGCGCTGTCAGCTAAAAAAGCAGATGGAACAGACATGCTGGGAAACGCTCATATACCTCCCAGGGCACTTCCAGACAAAGACAGGGACATGTTGGTAGCCTTCCCAAACCCCATATTAGCTTCCAGTTCCAGCATCTCCTACGTTATTATTACCTGCCAGAAACCTAAAAGAGTCCCATTCCCTCACAGATGGCAAACATATTTCATAAGGGACACTGCATGCACAGCCTCCCAGCAAGCCAGCATATTGTAAGCAAGGCAGCTACAGCACTTCTCCACTTGCATGTTATGACTGCAGTTGTACAGTAGATACCTTCATGTTTACAGCTGAGAAAGAGGCACAAAGGTTGCTACATGCAATGCATCTTGATGTGTTAGCCACAAAGGAAGAAAGTCCTTATCATTCAGTCAGCATCTTCCTTTGTCTTCAGCTCCACAGGTTGCAAGATGAATTAATTCCTAGCTACATTGTCTGGCTAGTCGTGCCATGTGGGAAGAAAGAAAAGTCATTTTCACGGCAAAATAAGAACACGCATTAGCAAATCCAGCCACATTATCAGAAATCCTACCAGTTCACACGGGAAACAATGCAAAAAGAGAAATTGCTGTCGTTATCTATGGCACCCCTCAGTCAATGTAATAGCAGTAATACACTGAACCATGGGTTTTCAGCAGCGTGAAACAAAACTCCCAACGAAGATTGCAACTGAATTAGCAGACATCCACAAATTCAGTGGAATTCCATCATTTTTCTGATAAAACAATTAGTAACATTTAGAATTCTACAGATCCAACCCGAAGCACATGCATGGTAATAGGCCGAATGTCTGCTCTCAGGGGCAACACACCACTATGGAGCTCTGCTCCGCCAAACCTTTCACCTTCCCACTTCTTGCTAATTGATGCAATATTGCTTGTATCTAAAACCAAAAGTTTCTAAAATAAATACAAATGAGGGGTGTCAGTCACTCGGAGGCAAGAACTTCCTCCTCTTCTGGATTTATATGGATCCAGGATACGGCAACGACGCTCCCAGCAGACTCCCTGCAGGCTGCAGTGTGATGCAGCATTCCCTAAGCAAGCTGAGACCTGGTGACTGAGCTGAACGAAAGCACAGCTCCTTGCAGACTTCGCAGTTTGGGTTCCACAAGGAACCGAAGGAAAGAGCTGACAGTAGTCACCTGCCTTACTTCCTCCATCTTATATCCACAATGTCTAACTCAGTGATGTCACCTTCCTCTTTAACAATGACAGAAGAGAGAATTAAAATGCACATGTAGGAGTTCAAAGAAGAGTAAATTCAGAAACTTTAAAAAAAAACTTCAGTGGTGCCTCAACTGATGTAAAAAGAAATCTAATTGTAATAGTACTTGGTTCTGTTGAAAAAAAAAAAAAAAGTGATTTCAAAATGATCTGAAAGAGAAGCTAATAAAAAATTTAATTTTGAACCAGCAATAGTTTTTCTGTACCTGTTTGCTCCTTCAAGGCTACAGCTCTTGTCTCAGAGAATAATTGTTTCTGACCATTCTTTGAGAGTCAAGGAAGAAACAAAACTCTCTTGCTGCTGGCTGAGGTTTTACGCACGCAACCAATTCACTAATGCTGCCTGCAACTTTTATTTTTTTAATTAAAACTTCAGAGTGCAGAAAACAGACATGTAGAGAGCAGCACCATGAAAGAGTAACTTGAGATCATAGCACAATAGTCAATATCAGCAGTGCTTTGTTGAAGAATCATGAAATGGAAGTTGTTTCATTCCTTCCTCTCAATCACAAAGTAAAGAAAGATCCTTCAGGCTATGAAGTGTGAGGATAAACAGGCTCATGTCAACAAGGCAAGGTCAAGTCAGTGGAAGGAGAGTTCTGTAGTGCTTCACAGCTACTCCCTTTTGTCACTAGACAGCGCGCAGCATTTGGCTATACACTTTCACATCCTTTTACACGGAAGACTGCAATCGAGATACTTATACCTCTGCTCAGCTTTTCTGCCACTTGTTTTCAGTTAGCTGTTAGGAAAACCAAGCAAATTCTCTATCTGAGCAACTAAGACCACAGTGACAGCAACCTCAGATGTAAATTTTCAATTCCTGTGGTAGCGAGCAATGATGACAGCCTTGTAGGCATGTGTTCCATGTGAGCCACAGGCTGCAAGTTCTCTTTACTCTCCTGAACTCTCGTGACTCGTTATCATGCATCACTGCATGTTTTGCTACATATTATACATTCACTGTGGCTCTTATGTGAAAGATTTATTACGACAGTGGAGTTTGCAGTAGCAATCTGCAAATAGACTTCAGCTCCCTTAGAATGAAAAACTATTACAGATGCTTACGTGACTTTTGCTTAGGCTCTCTGCAGCTACTGGTTTTCCATCACTATTCTGAGGGTAGGAAATAATCAGAGATTTCTGGTCTGCTTTGCCCTTATCTTCGTGTCTTCTCTCACTTGTCCTGATGGCTTTACTCAGTTTCCCTGCTTTGCCTTCTATCAGTACCAATTGCATCAGCATTTTGCCTGTGCCACGCTTGTCCCAGCACTCTGTCTCTCAGGTAGCATCCTACTTGAAGTGTTTGGGCCGCAGTCACACCCACCGTTCTGCAACACAGTGAGCCCGCAGAAGAAGTCTTCAAAGCAGAGTCTCTGGGTCTCGTCTGTGATACAGTACTCTACTCGCCGTAGAAAAGGATAGTACCAATTTAAATGCTTTGTCTTATGCTCATGGGTAGCAACAAAAGGATTGTCACTCATTTTCATAGCTCTGGATTTGTTATTTAAATCAGCTTTGTGCAGTCTGATTACTAGACATGAACAAAGTAAACCATTCCCTTGCTTATATGACTGATAATCCATAGTATGAACAAGCTGAATATAGTTTTCAAAAAAACAACAAAAAAAGTCATATAAACTCCTTTATAAGAGTGTGATGATTTGCGTAGTACAGGGATTCTTTGCATCAAGAAGAGTGTGGCCAGCAGGACAAGGGAGGTTCTCCTTCCCCTCTACACTACCCTGGTGAGGCCTCATCTGGAGTACTGTGTCCAGTTCTGGGCTCCCCAGTTCAAGAAGGATGAAGAGCTACTGGAGAGAGTCCAGCGGAGGGCTACAAGGATGGTGAGGGGACTGGAGCATCTCCACTACGAGGAGAGGTTGAGGGAACTGGGCTTGTTCAGCCTGAAGAAGAGAAGGCTGCGAGGGGACCTTATAAATGCCTACAAATATCTGAAGGGTGGGTGTCAGGAGGATGAGGCCAAGCTCTTTTCAGTGGTGCCCAGCGACAGGACAAGGGGCAATGGGCACAAACTGAAGCACAGGAAGTTCCGTCTGAACATGAGGAAGAACTTCTTCCCTCTGAGGGTGACGGAGCACTGGAACAGGCTGCCCAGGGAGGTTGTGGAGTCTCCTTCTCTGGAGATATTCAAGACCCGCCTGGACAAGGTCCTGTGCAGCCTGCTGTAGGTGACCCTGCTTGGGCGGGGGGGTTGGACTAGATGACCCACAGAGGTCCCTTCCAACCCCTACTATTCTGTGATTCTGTGATAGTAACAACAATATTCGTCCTATGTTTTACACAGATGTTGATTACTGACTGGGGAGCTACTGCACAAACCAAAGGTTGCCAAATATTCCCTTTCAGTAAAAACTCAAGTACATTAAAAAATTGCTAACCTTAAAAGCCTTTGCAATGATAAAAAGAACTAGCTGCTCATTGATACCTAGACTAACTGTGCCACAAGATGTGTGGTTTTCACATCCCTCCTTTCTAAAGAATGTTACTGATGACAGAATTCAAACGAAATAATGCACTGCTGTTCTCTGGACTTGTGATGTCAGTCCTGGAATCCCCAGGGGTCTCACGAGAATCGCTGCTTGCCTAACGCTTTGGCAGTGTAGCACCACTTATGAATTTGACTTGCAAGTGCTGGAATTTATCTGCACTGTATTCTGGAATAAGGGAACTTGCTATAGTTCACAGAACGATGAACTGTAATGGATTCACAAACTTTTGTTTACAGAATAGCAACTTTCCCTCATTTGGATCATCTTTTCAAGTCTTTGTAGCACTAATAGAAAATCTCTGATTATAGACAGAAAGTGACTCTCTTTCTGGCACAGACAATTTTCCGGCAGACATCCACAGAAGATCCATACTAGTGTGGGTACCAGCAGCACTAGATAATTCCACTTGCATGAGTTTCATTCAAATCAAATTTCGTCACCTTTCTGGGCTTACAACGAGCTTGCACTACTGCACCACCACACCTCTGTTGTTACTGGCATCTTTGCACAGCAGTACATTGTGGCACTTGATTACATCACTAACGTTAGCAGGCTACCCATAAGGATACTCTTAGTAAGAGTTCATTCCTCTCTTCCTAGCAGGCGGAGGTCCTTCTGGCCAACAAGATGCAGGTTTATGAGCAATATGATGTTGAGAAAAGCTGAAAAACTCAAAATAAGGAAATAGTTTCAGAAGCACTTACCAACAGTATGTCTGTCACAACAGCCCAGTTTACAGACAAAAACAGTTCTCCAAATGCAATAAAAACCTGCAAGAAAGAAAGCAGTGACTATACACGCTGCATTGACCTTCTTTATTGTGAAGATGAAGGCAAGCTCACTATGCTTATCTATGTAAGAGTTGTTGTACATACCCATCCACTTATAAATTAAACATCTCTGTCTATGCTTACAAATACTAAATTAATCTTCAAAGGGGGGAAAGGAACCAGAGAAAGTATGTGGGTTGTGTCACACATCCTCAGCAGAAGACCCAAAATAGGAAGCATATACCATCCTCCCAAACAAACTGTAACGAACTGCTGAAGCCAAGAAGAGGAAAGCAAGAGCCTGTGAAGAGAAACATTCAGCACAGGTTTAAAAAGTACTCAAAGATCTCCCTTTGCTCCGGTTTCCAAATGAAACCAACAGAACACCTCTGTGCCAGTACAAGTCATCTTAAAGGCTCCTTCAGAGGCAGAATTTCCAAAATGAAAAGGACTCCAAGAGACACGCAGCCTCAAAGCCTTGGTGCCCTGCGGGAATTCCCTAATTCATCACAGATGGAGACCCAGCCATCAGGAAAAGGGGTAGGGCCCCCAACAGTTCTTACAGCTGTGGTCTTAGGAAAGTTTAACCCTTTCAGCCAGCCCTGGACATGGATTTGCGCAGGCTGCACAAACTAAGTGATAATTGAGGAAAGCATTAAAGCTATACTATTAAGCTGGAGCAGTTCTAGAAAGCAGAATCTATTTAGTGACACAGGCCACAAAGTCCGATGCCACCTACGAAGTAAAATCCATTACAACAACAGGTGCCAGCATCTTGTTCAGTAAGGTCTTGGTCAAGATGTTGTATCTGGTTGATGAAAATGCAGTCCTAAGAAAGGCACACTGGCAAACTATCAGGTGATTTCAGAAGGGTAGCTCATATTCCATAAGAAGAATCAGACCTATTATGCACTTTCCTACGATACCCCTACCTCCTGTGTGTTTCCTGCCTGTACTTCCTGTGTTTTCTTCTCCAGACGAGTCTGGAGAAAAAGTTCCTGGAAGTACAGAGATATTTAGTATCGACCTTTATCCAGACTTCTTTTCCTTCAAAATGCTTTATATAGGTTTTCTAATTTGCAGCTGAATTTATTCCTCCATACACAATTACTTTTCTTTAAGTTTTATAACAAATATCACTCATTTCACATACTCCTTGGCTATGTCTTAGCTCTTGGATTTATGCATCCCACTGTCAAAGTCTTTCCACTGATACAACTTTGGCAGACCTTGCCTTTGCAATCCTTCTTCTGCAATTCCAAGACTGTTGCAGTAACAGTCCATAGACTACAGAAACGATGCTGTATGCCAGTCTTTGCTGGAAAGCAAGCAACACACCTTTTATTAGAGAACTTTGGGCCAAACACAAACTGAAACGAGTTCATTAAAATGGGTAGCGATATTTCACAGTGCAGCTTTTTGCCAAGCCACCTGACAATAAGGACTAACAATGTCAAATCTTGCAGCCACCAGAAAATATTAGCCCTTCATCGTCTTCTTTCAAGCTAATACTCTGAACTCTTGGAAGATCCAAATCCATCAAGCACCTTCCTTTCTTTTTTCCTCCCTGATTCCATACAAATAAACTTCAAATGTGCTATTGCTTAACTTAGAATTGCAGTCTGTGAAGTGATCAAAGCAGTACTCACAGAAGAATTGTAGGCAAGTGCAGAAGTGCAGTTGAATCCTGCCATACAGCGATAACGGCATGAACTTATGTGAATTCTGTCAGTTGTGCCACAGCTAGCAAGAGATAGTGCAGGTTAAAGCGAAACAGGAAGCAGACAAAAAACAAAGAGATTTATTTAAATCCTGGCTGATACTTTAAATATAACAAGATGCAAATACAACCGTTAGAGCAGAAGGTACTGAACACTTCCAAACTGTTCCTAGATACCATCAATGGAATAGATGACTATCTGTCTTTATACATCAAATGAGAGATTGGTCTATCTCCCTTATAGGAATCTTGTGATGTTTAGCACTTTTAAAGTGTCATTTCCAGTTCTCCTTTCTCTTCATACTTTTTCCAAGTTATTTAATCTCTACAAGCCCCTGAGAACAAGAGCATGTCATGCCTAGTGCGAGAAAAGAGAGTAAAATTCATCTTTAGGAAATAAGCTATGCTCTCAACCTAGAGTTTGAAGGAGTAGGAATTAATGAAAAATTATCCATGATAAGAAAATGTGATGTTCAGTGGCTAAGGCCTCATACTCCAGAGTGTAATTATTTCATACAGAATTGTGTTAACATTAGAGTCGCAACTTTGTTAGCTTTTCTTTCCTAACGTCTTGTGCGGATGGCAGTTGTAGGGTCACCAGAAAAAATTTAACCCAGTCAGTTTTGGAAGGTAATAAATCATTGTACAGATTGTATCAAGGTATTCTGTCTAAGATCAATATCAATTTTACTTTCTCATGCAGAATAAATGCAGTATGGTTGAATAGGTGGCATACTAAGCCATCCAACTGCAAAACAACTGCAATCAATAAAGAGGAGAGAGCTGCATGTTCTTTTCTCCAAAACCAGTGGAGACATCCTAGAAGTACAGCACACGGCAAGGGAGAAGGGCTGAGGATGGCAGGAAAAGAATAGAGCAAAGCTCTATTTAAAGCTTATCCTTCTGTTCCTACCATCTCTCACTATTCCTCATACTGTCTCAAGTCCTATTTTAAATTAATATAGAAAAGTTTTCCACTAAATTTGTGCAATCATGTTTGTGGCATGCCCATTCTAAGCCATTAAGTGTACCTAGAAAAGAGTGAAACATTGTATTTTATTGCTGTCACCTTCTCCAGGATCCCCAACTTTTTTAACAGACAACACTTAAAGTTGGTCTCCAAAGGATACAACCAGATTTATTTCCCAAATTTTAAGGGGATTTTGCTTTGTAGATGACTGTTTACATTCCTACCTAAAGCTAATATGAAAGAATTAGATTGTAATCAATGTTAGTGCCAAACACACATTCTGCTTTTAAATAGTCATATGCATCAACAAAAAAGTAGGGAATCAGTATGACTGGACCATATCTGATCAACGATTTCTGTCTTTTTGAAAAGAACCACACCAGGGAGATGTAGCAGAGACAAGAGCTGCAGAATGCCTCCTTGAAAGGCAAGTTGCAGGGCAGGACTGCATCCTGATGCAGCACTACCATCAAAGAGAAGTCTGTTTAAATCTAAGTTACTGCAACACCAAACATTGCCCAAGGTTCCTAGTCACAGGGTTCAGTCACGACTTTCCAAAGCACCTGCTGCACTGCAGAGAGCACATGACTTTCATCTTGTTTTGGAGACAGGAACAGATCTAGACAGACCCTCCTCTGAAACAGCAAAGCCAGGTAATTTTTCTGTCTTTTCAAAGGTAGTCTTCAAAATCAAGAACCAGGTGTCCAGAAAGAGGACAGAAATCTCATGGCATTTCAGTCCATCTACCCCAACAGAAACCCTGAAAGTTCTGCCATATTTCCATGTTAGCTTGAGAATTCATGTTCTTTGAAACATTCCTTCCAGCTTTGGCCATAAATGACTAAACCTGTCTTGCTCCCTTTCATTATCTGCTCAAGACGGTGGAAAGCACCATACAGAAACTCCTGTAATTGCACACTGATGCATTTATGCTTTTTTGCTTCAGTGGCATCTGCACTGTGAAGCAATGGAGACAGGTTTGGTAAGGTCAGCACGCCTGAGTAGACAGTGACTGGAAAGCCAGTTTCCTGCTGGTGTCCCACACAAATGGAAGATTTGTTTCAGTGGGACCTTCAAATTAGATGCACCAGCTGGCACGCCACTCCAGTTCTCCCACCGTATGCTTAGTGTCAGATCTTGTTTAGAAAGCAAGGAGGGGCATGGCTGGTGCCTGAAAAGGCAAGAGTTGAGCAGCGCTAATGGTAAAAGTAGTGGAAGAATCAGGTGCTTAGATTACGTACAATGTATCACCACTGCACATTGCTGACACTACATGTTGGAATACCTGAATCAAGCACATCAAACAAAAGACAAAATGGGAAAGTCTCTGGTTAGAAGACCAACTGGTCTGCTCATGAGAAGAAACTCAAGGAACACAGTTCTCCATATCCTGACTCAGCAGTTCCTCCCAGATAACACGCTGCTTGAAAACAGAATGCTGTTTACAAGGAGACAAACATTTTAAACACATTCCTTTTTATCAGTCCTAATAAAAGGTATGGTTTAGTAATTCAGAACTGATATATTGATTCACTCATCTAACACAGACTGGGAAACTGCTGTTCTACACCTTTAATGACAAAAAAAGAACTGAAGAACATATTCAGAGCAGGGCTATGTGGGAACCTGAGAAGCAGAAAAAGAAAATGGCTAATTTTTTTGGCACTTGGATCTCCACTCTTGAATCTAAAAATAATCTTCAATTTCACATTTTTATTTGTGTACACACACTTAGACATGCAAATCCACTTATTTTTTCCCATGATGTAAAGGCGTTTTTCCACAGGAATACACATTCCTGAGGAGTCCAAAGGAAAACCTCTTTGAATAAGTGTTATTCTTAGAAGTAAAAAAACTGCAGAAGTACCCTTTTGCAGAGAACTGTTGATTACTGTAATTAACTTTACTTGGATCCTCTTATTTATGCTAATCACGGTAATTGTGGCTATGGAGTCACAGGAAAAAAGCTTGCAGACTTTCCATAGCTGTTACCAAATTATAGTTAAAATAAGGTTTACATACAGTTCCCTCTCACAGGGAGTTTTTGCAACTATTCATCATTCCTAGGAAGCTTCTGTTTTTTGCTTTACTGAGAAAGGAATTTAAGTGATTTATACGTCAGTTTGCGTTGCCAAAAGCTTGACTTTGAAGATCAGGTAGTGATTCGGGGCTTTGAAAGCAATGGCTAAATTAATCTTAGCAAGAACTGTGCATATTGTACAGTCACAAGTACACCAATCTTTAAGTATTCAGAGAGCAAAAATAAATAAGAATACAAAATTAGTCATATAGCATTAAAAATTAACATAAGATTGAGGCTTCCTTTAACTACATTTTTGGATAAGGGACGCTAGCTTCATGCAGCTAACTATTCTCTTCTGTGGTGTGGGCAGACTCTACAGCTCCTGAGGCCCCATTTATCAGGCTCTGCCTGCCCGCCCTTTTCACCGGGCCAAGCAATGCACAGCGCGACTCTCGCAGGACAAGACCGCAGGTGCGGACAGCGTGAGAGCAACATGCACAGTGCTGAGCTGGCAGGCCACCTTGTCGCAAGTCACTGAAATCTCTTCATGGTCTAGAAGATTGCACAGAATTCCGAAAAAGTCACCCCTCTCCCCCTTCCCTACCTCCCCAGGTTCCCAGAAGACATTTTGCTAACGATAGGCAGATTGGCACTTACAAAAGTGGAAAGGATGTTCGTCTGGGCCACCATCAGAGCTACGTAGAGGCACAGAGCAGAAATGAACATGCTTGTGGCACAGACCAGAGGATCAGCTTTGTTGTTTATCTTTCTTAATCTTCTTGCAGCTTCTGCCCCAGCAATGACACCCAAGATTCCCGTCCCAATGGTGATGCCTCCAAATATTAGGCTGGTGAGAAAGCAAAGGATTAACTTGAGCATAGGAAGACCATACTGTGGAAAAAAAAAATGTTAGCTTATACCTTTAATTGGAGAGGAATCTTTAATGGGGAACTTGAATTTTATTCCACTTGATCTAACCCTCCCACTCCTTCTAAATGGATTTAATCCCAAGCCTCAGTTGAAGCTGTGCCTCTACAGCTGAGGCTTTACCCTGTGGAGCAGGTATTTTCCCATTTACAGAGCAGGTGTTATGCACGCAGGCACCAGGAGGACACTTCTCAGTATGATCTGGCTTGGACATCCAGTGATTTAGAGGCGACACAGTCAGCTTGGTTACCTTGTGAACCAATCTACTCAGTCATCCCTAAAACACAGATTGAATAACTCTGTATCACAATCTGCTGTCTTGGAAGAGATCCTATCTCGTGGAATTCTATACATCTAAATTATAACCCTCTAGTTAGCACAGCTGAGATGACTCACTTCTCTGACTACGGGAAACATCTACCACTTCCCAAAAGAGTTCAAAGAATACTGAATAGTTAACTAGTGGGAGGTCTACGTAGTATTTTCTGAACGCAGAATTTCAAATGCCACTCAGCTTTGTGTGTCTGCAAATGCAAATGTGTTCTCCAGGCATGACAAGTTCGTGTTTTAGAAGTATGTGTTTGAATAGCTTAGCAGATTCAGCTTCCAAAGGCCTTCCATATATGCTTTTCTCTCTGTCCCAAATGAGATCCTAATGACAAAGCAAGTCTCTTGCAACGAGACCAGTGGTGCCCCTGATTGTTTAATGCATCATAATTCTCCTGAAGCAAACAGGGACAAGAGCACTGTGTTCTGAGCACAAGTGCTTCGAAATATTTCAGAGTTCTACATTGTAAGTTTTGTACGTTTTCCTAAGCTTTCTCTGACTGCAAAGCAAAGTAACCAGCTAGGATATATCTATTCCTTTAAACTACAGTGCATCTACTTTTAAATTTATTTCCGGCTGATCAGGAAAAACTCAGTAATCCTACAAGAAAAACAAAAGTATTGCTACACAAGATAACAAACTTTAAGCATATTTGTACTCTCCCTCTCAGTTCCTAAGGATTCTGATCCATCACTCACTATAGCTTGATAAGGGCAATATAGATTGTCACTAGGCAGAATAACTATCTTAGAGATTTATCTGGGAGAGGCAAGTTCCAAGGTGACATTAGCTGTTCGAAGCATTCATGGAATTGTGTTTAGAAGATTCATGTGTGGTAAACTGCAGTTGAAATAAACCTACAGCTGGAAGAGAAGGGAACAGCCCAAACTAAATCCAAGCACAGTTCAGCTGACAGGGAATAGAAAAGTACAGAAGCCTAGTCCTGGGGAAATGCTGCTATGGGATCTTTTAGGGTCTGAGAATGCTCACGTATCTGCCTGATCTGTTTGAAAGTGTCCACACAAAGACCTGAATAAAAACTTCGTACTGCCTATTTATCTACCTTGAAAGGACTGAGATCAGAGTTGGCTGTGGTGCCATCTGAATTTGTGTTTCCAGGGACTCTAAGTGACAGAACCCTGATCCTTAAAGAAAGCCTGCAACTGCTGAACAGCCAGAGGCGAAAATGTCCTTAAAGTATCCTTGGGCAGGTCTGGGTATGCACAGCTCAGTTCTTCCAGCACCATCAGCTACAGGTCTGACATAGTTGTTTATATGATGTTTCTTTACATACCCCTGGAATAACAGTCTAAAACCAGCCTTCTGCTGTTTCTGGCACTAGCTTATGCCAAGGTTATTTTTACAGCATCCCGTAAGAAGCAGTACATGAGGTTAAACTATCAGGTGCTCCGCTTTACCTCCCTGAAGACCATGTCTGCTCTAGCAACGTTACTGTGGAATAATAATTCAGAAGGTGGATCAGAAAACAAAATATAGACTAACAGCTTCAGCTTTATAAAGGAAGTATTTAACCTGTATCTGTTACCAGGTACAGCTGAAAAGTTTACACTGTTCACATTGTTCAGCTTCCCTTCCCTGCCTACCCTGAGCCAGAGTCCTGAGTTCACTCTCTCCCTCAGCACTGTTCTCTGTTAAGTAATGTGCCAACAGTGGCAGCCACGGAAGGACAATTGCATTTCCCATTGAAGGACTGGTGGATGACCATCCAATCACACTGCAACTTGGAAACCACTTTTGAGTTGACTTGGTTATTGCAAAGCAAAAGAACTCAATTACCAGAGGACACACTCAAGTTATGGCCACTGCTTTTCTCTTTGTCTTTACCTGGAAAGACAGTGTAGGAAGCACTTCGTTCTTGGAAATCCATCATGAAGGCAGAGACTGAAACCAGATTTGGGATACCTCCAGAAGAAAGGTAAGGAACTTGTATGGAGGCCACTGGTAGGGAGCCAGTACGTAGAAGAGAAGTGTCCCAGCACTCACTGTTATTGAGGGTAGCCATGAAGACTCAAGTGGAACACTGAATATATTTTTCTGTGCTGAATAACACACTGTAAGGAAAAAAATTCTCTTCCTAGCTGGGGAAAAGTGATCTCCAAAAAGTTGCATTATGATTACTTCAGAGTCCTGTCCCGTTGTGAATTCCCCTTGCCCATCCAACATTTGATACTTATTCATGAATCTTTATTGGTCTGGACATCCTCTGTAAACAGAGCTCTGCCGGTAGTTATTCACAAGACCAAATTATCCGGTTGTTATGTAATGATATGATACTAGACCAAATTCATCAACCTTGCTTTATGCTGGCAGGCACAATGACCTGGCCAACATGGCAGGAGTTTCAAAACCAGACTAACAAGAAGGTAAGAGGAAAGTTACCAAAACACAGGATCTAAACATACTTAAATGGGTATGTAAGTAGCTTGGGATGCACAGTCGACTGTCAACTGAAGAGCCCTTGCTAAAGCTGCCCCTTTTCCCACAAGTGTTCCTGTTACTGCTTCTTTCCACTTTACTTAAATAGGGCTGGCAGCATCCTTCCAGTTAACCAAGCGATTATAAACAAACAAATGGGAGCATCTCAGCATGCCTGGAAACAATTTAGTTTAACCTTCACAGGCAATCGCCTTCACCAGAACTGGTCACAGTCACAACCTGCCTTCAGCCTTTGGAAACAACCTGCGACTGAGCATTGTGTGGTGTTTCCAGGTGTGTTCCCACAGCTGTGTGCCCCTCACCTGTTAGATGAATTGCACGATTCTTGGAGGCATGGTGGCACAATGCCCTGGACAACCTGAGCCCTGTAAAGGAACAGCGGTACCCACATTCCCAGGGCTCCAGTAACGAAGGCCATGGCAGTCAGACCCAGCGAGGACCAGACAAAACTCCAACTGAAAGTCAAAAGCAAGAAATGAGAGACACTAGAAAGCATGGGGTGTGAGTAAAAAGGGAAAGCCTACCTGCAGTATCCAGGCTTTCAAGCAGCAACAAAACGATTCATTCAGACATCTTACAATCAAAATGCACACCCTGAAGATAGGAATTTTGATGAGGTTTTATCTATGACCTTCAACAGTAAAGCACTAATTAGAGCCAAGAGCATGACCTACAGATTTCATGTTAAATCCCAGTCCTAGTATCTTGCAGATTGCATTGCCAATTTTTGCTAAAACAATTGCTGTGAAATTGTTGACAGCAGAACTACAACAACAGAAAGTGGGCAAGAATTTAAGGGCTTAGTAGCTAAGTGGAAGTGTTCTATGTGCAAGTCTAAATGCCTCAGGATGGTTTTAAGTTGTTTGTAACAATATAAATGAGTAACATCTGGGTCTTCCAGACTGTTCAGATGCAGTGGCTGAAGCGCTCCTCAACTCTACCTGAGTAAGTAAAAATAGACTCCCAGTCTGCACAGAGAGTTTTCAGACAAAAGGAGAGCATCTTTAAAAACTGACCAAATCTTTTCTCCTTCCTGCCCTATTCTAGGAGAAAATTAACTTTGCACTGCTCTCTTTCTAGTTGATAGTTTAGGAGAAAGTCCCTTTTGAGGTCAATAGGGAGGTATGAAATCTTAAGACTATGTAAAAGTGTTGCAAATGACCAGGTGACCACCAGACCAGAGGATTTCTTAAGATATGAACCTAATTGTTCATCTTCTAAAGATAAAGAGCTCTTGGATTTGATTAAAAGTGGAGCCACCTGGTTTTTGGCAGTATGTCCACAAGCTTTGGAAATCAATTGCTTAAAGGAAAAGAAAATTAATATCCATTTTTACAACATTGCTGGAGGTTGTAAGGAACATCTTTGTAGCAAAGCAGCTTTGACATTAGTCTAGTTGTCAAAATGTCAAAGGTTCATTTTTGATTCAGGGAGGTTCATTCTTTACTGACTTCAGACTGTACTGCCTACAAATTGCGATCCTGCAAACCGGATTTCTAACGCACTTGCTGCTCTGGATGCAGACAGGAGGCAAATCTAACGGCCAGTCAGAAGACGCTGGATCCCCTGGAACGCTCCACAGACAGCCCAGGTCCCAGGATCACGGCATCACATCACAGCAGCAGGAAAGCGAGAGGCGGGTGCAAGGAGGGCGGGCACCCCGCTGCCAGCCGAGCCGCGCTTCGTGCTGCCGGGCAGCGGGTGCGAGCGCTGGTTTTCGTGCAGTGAGAAGGGCGGGCTCTCTGCCGGCCAGCGGGCTGGCTGTTCAAAACACCCTGCAGTTACTTTACAAACCGTACTGGGGTCCTACAGACTTTGACCTCTTGTACCCGAGGCACAGCGGGCTCGCAAGCACCTGTAAAAACTGCCCGAGACACACCGATCCGATCTTCCTCAGGCACGGAGAGTTACAAAGTTACGCCTGAAAAATACGCACTTTTACCAATCCAGCTTACCCTACATCTTAAAGCACCAGGGAAGGGGAAACTTGGAAGAAAGCAGGATTTAAACAGGAGCACACTGCCCTCATAACTTTGTCTCCTTGCCCCTCCTCAAAATGGGAGCATAGCATAAGCAAAAAAATATTTTATCTCTTGCGTAGCATTCCTGTAAAAGAGCGAAAGAAAGATTTTTGCTAATGGTGATTCAATCATCTTGTATACAGCACGCGATACAAAGAAGCAGAGCAGGGTTTGATGGCCACATTTCTGAGAATGGAGTGGGTGTTCTTCAATGGAGGAAACTTGTTGCTAAAATCACTTACTTCTTGGCAAGCGATATGACATCCTGATACCAAGTAGTCTTGGCCGTTCTCTGTACGCCCGGTTTCTCGGCTGCTACTCGTATTGTACCGGAGATGCTCAGTGCTCTGTGGGCTGCTGTCCTTCTCTGGGTCCTGTGAGGAACCAGTAGAATCAGTAGAACCAGTGCTAGACCTCCCATGCAAGGAGTGACCTGTAGATACAAAGCTGGTTAGATCAAGGATATCTTTTTTCTTACAGTGAAAACTCCACAGCAGTTCAAATTCAGTGTTAGAATTACATATTGGAGAATTACAGATATGTTCAGAAACGGATGTGACTTGCTGTCTGTAGGTCACATTTGTAACGAAGCAGAGTGATTCTGGCGATTTATGGTGACCTCCCCATCATAACATACATGATCGCTCCCTCTGATGTCGGAGAAAAACATCTGAAGAAAGAAAACTCTACCGTAGTACTCTGCCCACAAATGCAAGAAGCACTGATGCGGCCATCAGCGTTGTCTGAATCACATCAGACTGTTATTCCAGTAAACGCTCTT